AGAGTAGATGAACATTCTGGTTCATTAGCCTGATCACCTACTCATGACATTGTTCATGAGAAATTCCATAGCTAGAGTTTAACCACTCTTGGTAGAAATTTCCAATGCACCTATTTCATTAACTTATGAGATATAAGTAAGCAAATGTATCCTCTATCTCAATAAATCCAACAGTTAATAATATTGATCTATGAACTGGAAATCTGGGCATCTACAGAAAGTGTATTCCAAATAAATTGGACATCATGGTAGCAGTTGAGACCAGCTCTGCCTCTTGCGGTTATTTTTCTCTCTTTTTTTTATTTCCTCTTTCATTTATGTGTTTATTTTTATATATTAATTTTACAAAATACTGGATTCCACTACATTTTATACATAGATTCATAAATAAATAGATGGTATTTGATTATATTTACTCTCCTAGCACCAACCATTATTCTTCCTACTCCATAGTTGTCACCCTTCCTACATTTTCTCTACCTCTCTCTTTGAAAATGTGTAGTATTTTCTGAATCTATTTCACTTCACATTATAAATTCCAGTTCCATGCATGTTTCTGAAACAGACATGATTTTGTTATTTTATTATTATTATCTAAATAGTCATTAATTATATATATATATATGTGTGTGTGTGTATCAATTTTTATCCATTCATCTATTGATATATTTAGGATGATTTTATTACTTGTCTGTCATCGATGGTTCTGTGGTAAACATGAGTATTCAGGTGTCTCTTTGTAAGCTGACCTTGATTTTTTGACGTATATACCAAGATCAGTATAGCTAGAGCATATGGTAATTCGAGTTTTACATTTTGAAGGGACCTACATACTAATTTACACCCCCACTACTATTATACAAGTGTTTCTTCTTTTCTGAACTCTTCCCAGAATTCACTTGTTTTTGTTTCCTTGAAGACAGTAATTCTGACTAGAGTAAGATGTAATTTTGATTTTATTTACATTTCCTTGATGGATAAGGATATTGGCCATCATTATATATATATATTTGTTGACCATCTATACCTCTTTTGAGAACTGTATACTCCCTTTATTTCTCCATTTCTTTGTTAGATTATTTGTTCTTTGGATGTTTGGGTATTGCAGTCTTACTATACTCTAGATATTAATTTCTTACTATATCATTAGCTGAAGAAGACTCCCTTTTATCCTGTTGCTGTCTCTTCCTTCTAGTAATTATTTCTTTTGTTGCTCAGAATTTTTGTTTCATGCATTTTTTTCAGTTCCTTTATTACTTCTGAGGAGATGTATTCCTATGTATGGATGTTTCCTTTTCTTTCCAAATGCTCACAGAATTAAGAATAGGGGGTCAGATTCCCTGAAACTGAAGTTACAGATGGTTGTAAGCTGCCTTATGGGAGCAAGGAATCAAATCCTGGTCCTTTAGAAGAGTAGCACCACTCTTGAGCCATCTTTCAAGCTCCTGGAACATTCCTATTTTTTAGAATACTTAGAGATTATTGTATGTTAACACTTCAAATATACATACAGTTCATTAGAAAATTCATCCAGCCCTGAATTTTTCTTTGTTGAGAGACTCCACATTGCTGTTTCAACCTCACTGCTTATCATTGATCTATTTAGATAGTTGTTTATAAGCTCTTGTTCAATTTCAGTGTGTGTGTGTGTGTGTGTGTGTGTGTCTGTCTGTCTGTCTCTGTATTTGCATCTGCATGTGTGTGTGCATGTGTGTGTGTTTACCCATTTCTTTTAGATTTTCCAGTGTATTGGAATATATGTGTTAAGGACTTTGGAAGTCAGGTTGGAAAACCCATTGATTGTTCAGAGCTTAATCAGCTGTTGTGAACTTAGAAGACAATGCTGAGCGATGGAGGTCTGGCTTGTGAAGTTAAAAGTACCCAAAAGACTCTACCAGGGCCATTTGTGTGCTATTTTGTGTTTAAAATCTATGGGGTCTGGTCAGTTGGAACTGAAGAATCAACTGTGTTTGAGGAAAGACCAACATCATTGATGATCATGATTTTAGAGGCTTTCCTTAGGGTCAGCACACATAAACAGTGGTTCATGATGGACACAGTGATGCACTTCATGCTTGCAGCAGAATTAGCAGTAAAATATAAGAACCATCCCACTGGTACTGGTTTTGAAGGCATGAAGGAGCCATGGAGAACAGCTGAGACTTGGTTTTGGGAGAGGCCATATGGAAAGGTTCAGGCTTAGGTACAGTAGGAAGCTACAATTGAAGCAGCCACAGAGAGAAGTTGAAGCTCAGTGCCATGGGTCAGGATCAGAGAACCTGAAGAGGCCCCAGGAGAGGCAATTGGTGAAATTGAAGTCCAATTGCAGCAGGAGCTCTCAGCATTTTGGAGATGCCAATTCCATGGGATAACCACCAAAACAGCAACAGCTGTAAAGTGGAACAGCCTGAGCTGAGAAGCAAAACAGTATGCAGTGCTCCCCTGTGGCCTCTGTGTCAGTTCCTGGTTTCAGGCTCCTAACCAGCAATGCCATAACTCTCTTTGGTGAATGACTGTGATATGGACGTGCAAGCAAAATAAACCCTTCCTTCATGTGTTGCTTATGGTCTTGGTGTTTCATCACAGCAATAGAAATTCTAAGACAGTAAGCTTTTCAAATATTCTCTAACGATTGTCTGCACTTCAGTAGTATCAGTTTCATACATGTTCTTTGTCTTTTAATTGTATTGAGTCTTCTCTCTTTCTTTGGCTAGTCTAGCAAAGAGCTTGTTAAACTTGTTTGCCCTTTCAAAGAACCAAAGCTGTGTCTCATTGACTCTTTATAGTGTCCTTTTGATTTCCATTTCCTTAATTTAAGCTCTGGTCTTTACTATGTCTTTATTCTAATAGCTTTGGAACAGCTTTATGAAATTTAACAGATATCTACAGAACCAGTAGCAGAATGTACATTTTGATGTATCCTAAAGTCTTAATAATGCAAGCACATTTAAATAACTTCTATATTCCATTGGATAATAATGTAATAAGATAGGAATCAACCACAAGAAACAATACAGAAAACATATAGACATGTATACTAAATAAAACGTTTTTGAGCAATCAGCAAATATTAAATAATTTATAAGGGAAAACCCTTTCTATCAAGTGAATGTTGATACACAACATGTGAGACTCTTTGGGATAAAATTATAGTTGTTTTAGGAGGAGATTCTAGAGCTATAAATATCTACACTGAATAATCAGTGATATCTCATATGAATAACCTAACGGTATACTTCAGTGTTCTCCCATTATTTCTTCCATGCACTTAAACCTGACATTCATGAGCTTGAAATCTCTATATTAACAGCGAGGTGAGAGAGAGGTATAGTGTCTTGACAGCTCAGATAACTTATTGTGTCTGACAAACAGGTAACTTCTCTCTCCTTTTCATGTAGAGCATTGGAAACCTGCCACTCAAACAAACCTTTTTGTTTCAATTGTTCTTCTCACCACTGTAATGTCAGTGCATCAAGATAATTAATTTTCTCACATTGTTCAAGCAACAGAAAGGTCAGAGGTAGCTAGGACTTCCTTTCAGGAAGCTTAAGAAGTAACTTGTAAAGTGGCCAGATGGAAAGGAAGAGAGAGAGAAAGAGGCCCCTGTTCTCCATGATCTTTCATATCTCTTTGAACTAGAGTTAGAACTATTTTCCTCTTTACATAGAATAATTGCTAGAGGAAGCTACAGGATTAATTAAATCTTTCATTTAACAAGGTAGCTAATGTGCTGGTTTGAGTTGATGGGGGCTCCCCTTTTAGGGAAGAGAAGGAGAGAAGAGAGGAAAAGTGTGAAAGTGTGGGACAGGGTGGAAAGGGGGAAGGGTTTATGATAAGAGTATAAAGTGAAAAAATGAATTAAAAATATTTTTTAAAGTAGCTAATGTAAGCTTTTTAGTTGTTTGATATCTAAGGTGTGTCTTAAAGGTAATTCAAGAATCTAAAATAAGACTAATTTTATTGGGATGATTGAAGAGAGTATCATATGAAAAAAATAGAGTTGTCAGAAATGTAACAAGGTTGAAATTGTAATTTTACTGCTGTCAGAAAAGGACCTATGTGCATTTCCGATGAGTCAGTGACTGACAGCAGTCAAGTCTATCAATAGCATGACATGTGGAAAAAGGTAAGCCAGTCTTGCCTCACAAATTTGCATACCTAAAAAGACTAGCCTAGTTATGAAATCTGCAGTTGATTTACTTGAAATACTGCTGAAATGACAATGGTAGCAAGAGGAGAGTATATATTCCAGATCTCGAGATCAGTCACACACAGGCTCATACCTTTCCTGCCAACTTCTCCCTCCAGAAATACAAGTAAGTACTTCCAGCTACTACCACTGAACAATAGGAATTACATTTGAGGATAACAACGGTGTGTTTTATAGCAAGTGTATGAGACATTTTCCCTGATTGTATTTATTTTTGATCTGCCAAAAAAAATGGAAATGCCTCCTTCAGTTAATTAAATGTCTCCTTCACTTAACTTATTATCTATCTAAATAATTTAATTGTGTGGATGACATGGACTATGCTGCATAGTTTTTGATCACTCCCTCCTGATGGGACTGCCTTACCAGGCTGGAGGGGAAGAAGACACACACAGTCCTCATGTGGATAAGTGGGCTGGGGTGGGTGAGTAGAGGGACTCCCCTTTTCTGAGGAATAGAGAAAGAGTAAAGGAGGGAACACTGGGAGGAAAGGCAGGAGGAGGCTACAACCAGGTTGTAAAGTAAATAAATATTTTTTTTAATTTAAAAAAAGATACTGTATTAGTTGTTTGCAAAGGTCTTAAAGACATGAGTTCTAATTAGGAGATACACAGTGTGGAAGGGTTAAAAAAATAATAATAAATTTATTTGCCAGAATCTGATAATACCAGATATGTCCTTTCCTTTAAAGAAATGTTCATTACAGAGTGATGCTCCATTTACTGATGTCATTCTAAACATTGTGTTGACTTTATTCTGCTCTAGGGCTTTAAGGTCACACTAAGTCATCATGCATTTGTTTGCTGAAGCAACCATGAAATTTACACTTGAGCTGTACCTGCAGCTCAGAGAATCAGAGGACAACATCTTCTATTCTCCCCTCAGCATCATGACAGCATTAGCAATGCTCCAGCTTGGAGCCAAAGGAAACACCGAAAAACAAATTGAAAAGGTAGGTACAAGCTTCATTTTGTTGACTAGTTTGAACTTGTCTCTCCATCGCTCTGTTGGGGTGCAGATAAATGATGGTAAAGCCGGATGCCTAAGATAAAAAGCAAGATGCTGAGTAGGCATTGCCATGACTGTGATTGCAGAACTGAGGGAAGAACACACCCTTCCCAGGGACACACCCTTCCCAAACGCAGTCCAGTTGCTTCCAGGATGTCCTTCGGGTTCTAGGCTAGAATAACTGCCTTCAAGTGTCCAACAACCAGACAGGACCTTAAGCTGTGGAGACTACTGATGGAAGTAATAATTGGCCCAGCACTGAGGGACGTGAATCGAGGTGTTCCCTGAGCACTGGATGATGAGCATCTACTTACTTGATGGGTGATAAATCAGTTCTGTGGTGTTTCTCACAAACACTTTTACAAAAGTTTGGAGTCTTTTTTTCTAATTTTTTAATTTTTATTTGTTTTTCAGGGTTTTGTTTTGTTTTTGTTTTCTTGGATTTAGGCAGGACTTTAAGTGAGCTCTTTATTATTTGTTTGTTTGGTTGGTTGGTCACATTTAATGTCTCCTCCAGGTTCTTCAATTCAATGAAGTCGCAAAGAAGACAACAGAAAAATCTACAGAATGTCATGTAAGTGCAGGGTACCTCATGCCTACAGGGATTTTAGATCTTTGACAGGATGATAATTTAAAGTGAACATTTTACATTAAAAAAAAAAGCACTTTCTAGGGAAATTTCCAAACAAAAGAGATTAGGATGTAGAGTAGTGCCACACATCCTTCTCATAGTCATTATGTTCATATTTTTGTTCTAAACATAGAAGGTCGGCCCTGGGTATAGACAAGGAGGCCCTAGCATCAGCTCTAGCTCTGCCCCTCAGAGATCAGGAACATGAGCAAAGCACAAATGTCCTGAACTACTGGAACTACAATCTAGCAGAGGGGGGGTAAAAAGGAATATGATTCAATAAACATTTACAAAAATGTCTGCCTGCTATATGAAAGAAATCATAATGAATGTTTGATATTGTTGTTGTAACATAACAGTAATTGTCCTTATCACAATAATTTACTAAAATATTTTAATCTTAATTCAACAATTGGATTAATAAGCACATATTCAAGTACATCTTGGAAAATGACATCTATATGTGTTTAGAACATTAACCATGCTAACCTCTTAGCAAGAAATTAGAAGTGTCCTGATTCAGAAATACTTAGATTCAAAAGAGTGACTCTTCAGCATTTCTTTAGAAATATCATGAAATTCTCTGAACCTTTTTGTTTTCATCTAGATTGCATTCAGACTTCAAGTACTGACATGTAGTCCAGTCCTTAGATAAATCATAGGCACATACTATCTTATATGCAGAGAATAACCATGAGAGAAGAAACATGAATCATAGTCAACTTGTCTTGAACAATACCGCTAAAGGCTGTATATTTCAGGACTGCATGTAATAACATACTTTAAGTATGCAAAAATAGCATAATCATATTTTCATGATTGTTAGAAATGGGATATGGTCTATAGCTTTGAGGAACTTAAGCCAAACAGCCTAAAAGTACTGCATATGTAGTTCAAAAGCCCACCCCCCAAGGGAGGAGCAGTCCTGTTAGGCCACAGAGGAGAGCTTTGCAGCCAGTCCTGAAGATACCTGATAAAACAGGATCAGATGAATGGGGAGGAGGTCCCCCCATCAGTGGACTTGGCAAGGGGCACGGTGGAGAGGAGGGAGGGAGGGAGGGACTGGGAGGGAATGAGGGATCGGGACACGGCTGGGGTACAGAGTTAATAAAATGTAACTCATAAGAAAAAAATAAAATACAAAAAAAAAAAGACAGAAAAATGGAACATGTTGAAGAAAGAAGAAAGGCAGTTCTGGAAGGAGTTGAATGTAAATTAGGGATATTTGTGGCAAAATATAACTGATATCAGAGAATAGTCACAAAGTTGCCTTTGAGATTACAAGGTTTGGGTATTTATTTTGTGAATTTAGTATTTACATTAGCAGAGTAATTCAATGGACACCATTTTTGACATTGAAGGATGAAGAGGCAGAAAATGTGCATGACCAATTTCAAAAGCTCATGACTCACTTAAACAAACGCAATGATGCTTATGACCTAAACGTTGTCAACAGTGTCTATGGAGCAAAGAAATTCCCATTTCTCCAGGTAAGTAGCACCTGGGTCTGCATATGTGTGAATGGACATAGTAAAAGTGAGGCCAGGCAGATTCAGATAGGCAACATTTGCCCGTTTGTCCGTTGTCACAATTCTAACCCACTGGATTGCCCAAGAGCCTAGTAATGTATGTGGAAGCATAGGCTCAGGAACTATCCCATGTGAGAATGTGGGCTAGCAGAGCTTGTCATGGGATGTTAGTAATGAATCAGCACTGACTCCATCTCAGAGATTATGACAAGCGATGTATGGCAAGTGGGATGTTTCTGGAATGGGCAGGCTTGGGGAAATCCTGGAGAGTCTCGGGAAGGTATCCGGGAATATACCATTTCCTACATTGAAGCCATAATCAAAGGAGAAATGCAATGGTTGAACTTAGTGGCTCTCTCAGAGCAACTTACTATGAAATTTACAAGTCATGGCCCTTTTCCACCTGCCATCTGCCAGGTGGTATTGGACTTCAGTGACATCATTACACCAGCTTTCACTGTGATCTCACACTGTCTTCCTATTACCTGAGTAACAGTCTGCATGTCCATAGACTAAAAGGTGTGGTCAGCATCGGCCATCAGATTATCATATCATCACAGCTAATGAAATTTGAGTAATGTCTAACTTGTTCTTATTTCTTTTTGGTTCCTTCACATCTCAAAGGAATTTTTAGAAGACATTAAGAAATTTTACCATGCCAATGTGGAATCGCTTGATTTTTTACAAGCTGCAGAAGAAAGCCAAGAGAAGATTAATTCCTGGGTGGAAAGCCAAACAAATGGTATTGTATAGGAGGGTCATTGGAGGGAGCCCCAGAGATTATGGGATGGTCTTCATGAATATAAAGTGAGCCAAGAAGAATCATGGAGAAGTTGGCAGAAAGCCAATCAGTGTAACTACAACAAGAGAATTATTTGCATATAGCTTAGTTACCAGTATCTTTGAGAATCTGAAGTCTCCACCCAGACAGGTTTCGATATCATATCCATTTCTTTAAGTCACAGCCAATTCTAAAATTGTAAGAGTAAATGTCAGGAAAAGTTTCTTTCTCTTTTGCCAGCCAGAGAAACAAAACCCTTCTTGTCATCCCAGCTGGATCTCAGACCATGTCTCTAGCCTGACCTCCTGAAGAATTTATCACACTGTCTTTGCCACCTCAGGCAGACATCTCAACAAAGCTTCTACTCTGTAGACACCTACTCCATATCTCACCTCCATACATAGGCCAATCCTGCAGCAATCCAACATGAAAGTTCACAGGAGGACACACCAGGAATAGTGACTGACATTACCAGGTGTGAATGTCAGAATATGGAATTCATGTCTTCTAGCTGGGCACGGTGGTGCACACCTTTAACCCCAGCACTCAGGGAGGCAGAGGCAGGCAGATCATTGTGAGCTTGAGGCCAAGATGGTCTACAAAGCAAGTCCAGGATAGCCAAGGCTACACAGAAAAAGCCTGTCTCAAAAAAATAAAATAAAAACAAAACATATATATATATATATATATATATATATATATATATATATATATATACATATATATATTATGCCATTTGTGTACAAGCCTTGGTAGTGAGCCTTAAATTTGGAGAAAAAAAAAAAGTAAGTTCCAGAAAGAAGAAAAAAAAGAGTTAAGTTGACAAAGTAGATCAAAATAGCTTATCAGTGTTCACTGTGCGTCAACCATAATCAGCAAGACAGAAAGCCTAAAGGCCTTTCCTATGACTAGAACTGATGTGTCCTTCCAAGGTAGCTCAAGAGGCACATCCCATCCTGGAAGGCTATGTCTTATGAACTAGTCAATGAGTCCTTCGTGTTATAGACTTGGCTTAACAAGTGCTAAGTGATCAATGGTGAACTTTTGAAAAATATCCTTCAAAAAAAAGCTCCTGTACTTTGGTTACAGACTTTGTTCTTTCCCTTGCAGGAAAAATCAAAGATTTATTTCCGAGAGGGACCCTGAGCAGTAGCACGATTCTGGTTCTGGTGAATGCAGTGTACTTCAAAGGACAATGGGATCACAAATTTGATGAAAAGAAGACTAGAGAAGAAAAGTTTTGGCTGAACAAGGTACAGTTGGCAGTTTATTTATATAATGTCATATGGAGATGTAAGGATGATTCAATTTAAACATAAGCAATGCTGCGGAAGGTACAAAATGAAATATGTAATGTTTTTATAATTCTAATAACTTAATTTAAGTTACAAAAGGCAGAGGCAGGAGATCTCTGTGAGTTCGAGGCTGGCGTGGGCTACAAAGTAAGTCCAGGATAGCCAAGGCTACACAGAAAAACCTGTCTCAAATAATGACTAAAGAAAGTTTTGCTCACACTTCACAAATGTTAGGGTTATGTCTTCAAAGGATGCTGGTGTGTTGGATATCTCAACAATGTTAACTGTGCTGTCCTATGTCTCCCTTGACATGAGTTTGACATGTTGTTTTGTTGTAGAATACCAATAAATCTGTCCAGATGATGACACAGAAAAACGACTTTAACTTTAACTCACTGGAGGATGTGCAGGCCAAGATTGTGGAAATACCATACAAAGGCAAAGGACTAAGCATGTTTGTCCTCCTGCCAAATGAAATTGATGGTCTAAAGAAGGTAAAGCTGTGTCTCCTTCTCTTCTTTCTGCTACCTGATTTCTTACTAAGGTGTCAAATTTAAATAATATACTAATACAAATAATTAAACATGACAGTGATAAAAACTTAAAAAGAAGATATGGTGTTTCACCCTGAATTACAAGCATTTTATACATAGTCTGAAAGACACTGCAGAATTCCCTAATTAGGAATTGAGTGGAGTTGTGAACATTAACTATCAACATTATGCCACTAATAAGGAACAGGTCAAACTTGGTTGAAAGAAATATGAAGCAGTACAGAAAATGTTTGTAAGTATTTTGAATAAAAGATAAAGCTTAGAGCATTATGTGAGTTCAAGGCCAGCCTGGTCTAAAAAGCTAATCCATAACAGCCAAGGATACACAAAGAATCCTTGTTTCTAAAAGAAAAAAGAAATGAAGAAAACATAGTTGGCTGGTAGCATGATCAATATGGATAGAGTTTATTCTGTACAAAATGATGATTCTGTTTTTGCATATTGCCAATAATATCTAACTTCAAATTATCTAAATCAATAATATCTGAACTGAATCGTCAGTATTTGTTTATTGCTGAACACTGTGCATATGAGTTACACTCTTTGATTAATCATGGAATTTCCTTTTCTTCTACTTGTACAGCTTGAAGAGAAACTCACTGCTGACAAGTTAATAGAGTGGACAAGCCCACAGAACATGGACATGATAGAGTTGTATTTATCTTTACCTCGGTTCAAAGTGGAAGAAAAGTATGACCTCCCAACTCCATTGGAAAACATGGGGATGCCGGATGCCTTCAATCCACAGAAGGCCGACTTCTCCGGCATCAGCAGCACTCACGGTCTCATGGTGTCTAATGTTGTGCACAAGTCCTTTGTGGAAGTAAATGAAGAGGGGACAGAAGCTGCAGCTGCCACAGGGGTAGAGGTCTCTTTAACATCAGCAGGGATAACTGAAGATTTCGCTTGTGATCACCCGTTCCTATACTTCATCAAGGATAACAAGACCAACAGCATCCTCTTCTTTGGCAGAATGTCTTGCCCTTAAGCGCAGTGGCTCTGCCAAGCTCCTGGAGAAGCTGACAAAGTTGATGCAGTTAGCAGAGCCTTGGAAACAACAGATTGTCTTGCTTCATTTTCCTTTCCCGTCTCAATCACTACTAAAAATGCATGAGGTGAAGCAGTATACATATAGATATAGATCTTATTTCATATATCATATTTCATATGTCATATACACTGCTTTCTATACACCTAGATAAATCTGGTTTCTCCATATAAACATTCTCTGGAAAAAAGGTTCAATGAAAATATGAGATCTTAATATAGTTTCTTCTAATCTAACATGTATCTGTTTTGATCTGTTTTAAATAAGCTAAAATAAATCATACCTTTTCTTTAAATGGATTAGCATAAACATCTACATTTCTTTAACTTTAGGAGATATATCAGATACTTTACAATCTTCTATATTTTGTGACTTTACAAATTACGTTTTCAATAAAATAATGTTTTTTTGATTTATGTATTACTTTATCATGTTTTCAACTGCATGGGGTCAATCATATAAGAAATGTGAAGGGAAATATTCAAAACAAATCAAGCTATGCTAAGTCTGGTGCTGTGTGCAGATACATTTGTATACATGCTTATTTTATTATTTTTAATAGCAAGAAAATTTTACGGATTTTGGTTTATTTATTATAGCACCACGGATTCAACTCAAGGCCTCTTGCATTCCAGGTGTGTTCTCTACCACTAGGCCAAGCCTCTAGCCCAATGAAAATTTAAAATACTACAAATGTGAAAAAATAACTTTATCTAAGATAAACCAATTACAAAAATATTAATATAGTTTCCTATATCACCAGCCCTGGCAAATGAGCCCTAGAGATCTGTAGTGTCCAATGTAATAATCATTAGCCAGCTGTAGTCACATATCAATGAAATGAAGTCACATTAAACAAAATTAGTACATTTTCTTATCTCACTAGTTGACGCAGCTAACGCGTGTTACCATACAATGTTGAACACTTCTATCGTCCTAACTCCATCCCCACAGAATACTTCACAGCTCACCTGAGAACCTAAATAATCACATGACAAAATTTAACATGGGTACCTTACAAGGGTTCTTTATAAATAAAGATAGAAGGTTAACAGTTAAAATAGATCTTGTCTAACTTCAACTCCAAACTCAGGTTGAATAGAAATCACTAGAAAGAAACACTGAACCCAAAAATCTATAAGAAAATAAAAACAATGGTTTTAACTTTTAACAGTATCAGACAAGTTAATTAAGAGTCAATTTATAGAGTGTGACATGGTTTGTGTTTTTACAAAAAAACACATAATAACCAGTACACATGTGTATAAACAGAACCTGTCTCTAGAGGAATATTTAAGAAACTACATCACCACAGTGGAACAGATAGAAATGGGGAGTCTCGGATGTCTACCTAACTTTTAGGGTGATATGGCAATGAGAACTTCCTCAACGTGCTTTGACCAAAAGAAAGCTCAGCATCTCTTTTGATCAACATTGAATGCAAGTTGACTGAGCAAGAAGAACCTGCTGGCCCTCTCTAATCCTTCCTCTCATCTTTCATCCACCCATCCTGTACTCTAAATTTTAAAGAGGAGCATCCCTTTCCTCAGCTCATAGTCATTGACTGCGGGAAAGGATTGGGCTTGTCTAAATCTATACAGACATAAGGAGTCTGATGCCCGGATGGTACCAGGTCAGATTTTCAAAACAGTAGAAATCAACTTCCTGCGCATTGCTCTGAAAATCCCATGCATATTAGAACCATGCAGAGTTAGGACAAATTTGCTTGGGTGAGGATCAGATCTTACATACATGCTTCATCTAAGGAAGAGTCACAGCTATCAGGCACAACTTGATAAGCATCAAAATGTTTTGTTTTATTTTCCTTTCTGTTTTAATTTTGGGGATATAAGCCATTTGTAGGTACTTCAAGCAAGCATATTTTAATATTAAGGATTTTGATTTTAGTAATCTTCAGAGGAGCAAATGTGGCTCAAAATTAGAATGCATTTATAAAACTGATTCTATTTGTTCATAAATCACACAATGCCCTCATGGGATTTCAGCTCAGTATTTCTCCTGGATTTCAGCTGAGTATTTCCGGCTTCACCCAGGAAACACTCAACTGCTCCTGTGATGGCACATAAAAAGCATCTTACTATCCTGTTCACTCCTTTCTACTGCTTCCAGTGTCTATCCTGTTTTCCCTTCAAAATGAGAATTGAGCATCTTCCCTAGGGTCCTCCTTGTCATTTAGCTTCTTTACATCTGTAGATTTTAGTATGTTTATCTTATATAATATGGCTAATATCAACTTATAAGTGAGTATGTACGACATGCATATCTTTCTGCTTCTGGGTTACCTCGCTCAGGATGATCTTTTCTAGTCCCATCCATTTGCCTGCAAATTTTCATGATTTCCTTGTTTTTAATTGCTGAGTAGTATTCCATTGTGTAAATGTACCACAATTTCTGTATCCATTCTTCAGTTGAGGGACATCTAGGTTGTTTCCAGATTCTGGCAAAAATTGCTATGAACATAGTTGAGCAAATGGCCTTGTTGTATGATTAAGCACCTTTCAGATAAATGTTCAGGAGTGGTATAACTGGGTCTTGAGGTAGCACTATTCCCGGTTTTCTGAGAAAGCACCAGATTGATCTCCAAAGTGGATGTACAAGTTTACATCCTTACCAGCAATGAAGGAGGACTCACCTTTCACCACATCCTCTCCAGCATGTGTTGTCACTTGAATTTTTGATCTTAGCCATTCTGATGGATGTGAGATGGAATCCCAGAGTCGTTTGATTTGCATTTCCCTTATGACTAAGGGTGTTGAGCATGTCTTCAAGTGTTTCTCCAGCATTCAATATTCCTCTATTAACAGTTCTCTGTTTAGCTCTGTATCCCATTTTTTAATTAGATTATTTAGTTTGTTGATGTTTAATTTCATGAATTATTTATATATTCTGGATATTAATTAGTTCTCTGTCGGATATAGGGTTGTTGAAGATTTTTTTTCCCAGTCTATAGGCTGTTCTGTTCTGTTGAATGTGTCCTTTGCTTTACAGAAGCTTTTCACTTTCAGGAGGTCCCATTTATTGATTGTTGATCTTAGACCCTGTGCTCTTCGTGTTCTGTCCAGAATTTGTCTCCTGTGCCAATGAGTTTAAGGTTCTTTCCCACTTTTTCTTAGTGTCTGGTTTTATGTTGAGGTCTTTGATCCCCTTGGACTTTTATTTTTGTACAGGGTGATAAGTATGGATCTATTTTTATTTTTCTACACATACACATCCAGTTAGACAAGCATCACTTGTTGAAGATACTGTCTTTTTCCATTGTCAAAAATCAGGTGGCCGTAGGTGTGTGGTTTGATTTCTGGGTCTTTGATTTGATTCCCTTAATCAGCCAGCCAATTTCTATACCAGCACCATGTCATTTTTATCACTGGTGCTCCTTAGCAATTGAGATCAGGGATGGAGTTGCCTCCAGAAGTTCTTTTATTGTACAGATGGTTTTAGTTATTCTGGGTTTTTCTTTTTCCACATGAAGTTGAGAATTGTTCTTTCAAAGTCTGTAAAGAACTGTGTTGGTATTTTGATGGGAATTGGGTTGAATCTGTAGATTGCTTTTGGTAGGATGGCCATTTTCACTGTTAATCCTACCGATCCATGCGTGTGGGAGATATTTCCATCTTTAGCAACTTCAATTTCTTTCTTCAGAGAGTTGAAGTTTTTTTGTTTTGTTTTGTTTTATTTTTCCATGCAAGTCTAAAAGACTCTAACCTCTGGGGAATTGAAGCAGATGCAGAGACTCACAGTCATTTGCACAGAGTGCAGGGAGCCTTGTGGAACAAGGCGGATATAAAAGGACCTAAAAGGGACAGGAGCCCCACATGGAGACTAACAAAGCCAAAACAAGCAGAGCCCAGGGGAAACTGCAGAGATTGACAAAGCAAACAAAGACCATCCATAGTGAGGACCTAGACCCTCTGCTCAGATGTAGACCATAGGCAGCTCCCTAGTAAGAGAAGATATAGTCTCTGACATGAACTCAGTTGCCAGCTCCTTGAACATGTCTCCCTGGTGGGACAACCTAGACAGCTCAGAGAGGAAGAGGATCCAGACAGTCCTGATGAGACCAGATAGGCTAAGGTCAGACAGTAGGGGAGGAGGACTTCCCCTAGCAGTGAACTGTAAGAGAGGAATAGGAGAGGAAGAGGGTGGGAGGGTGGGACCAGGGGGAGATGAGGGAGGGTTACAAGTGGGATACAAAATGAAAATTTGTAAATAATAATAATAATGCATTTTTAAAAGCATCTTGCCTGATTCAGTTTTTTTTCTTCTTCTTCTTAGGCCTTCTATAAAATATTTAAGGTATATTTAATGTTTTTTAAAATTTATTTTTATTAATTACACTTTATTCACTGTGTATCCCAACTTTAGACCCCTGCCTCATCCCCTCCCAAACCAGCCCTCTCTTCCTCTTCTCAACCCATGCCCCTCCCCCAGTCCATTGATTGAGGAGGTTCTCCTTTCCCCCCCCCTTCCATCTGATCCTAGTCTATCAGGTCCCATCAGGAATGTCTGCACTATCTTCTTCTGTGTCCTGGTAAGGCTGCTCTCCCCTCAGGAAGAGGTGATCAAAAAGCAGGCTACTGAGTTCATGTCAGAGAAAGTCCCTGTTCCCATTACTAGGGTATCCTCTTGGACACTAAGCTGCCATGGGCTACATCTGTATAGGGGTTCTAGGATATCTCCATGAATAGCCCTTAGTATCAGTCTCAGAAAAGATCCCTGGGTCCAGATTTTTATTTTCTCTCCTTATGGAGCTCCTGTCCCCTCCAGGTCTTTCTATCTCAGCCTTCTTTCATAAGATTCTCTATACTCTGCCCAAAGTTTGGCTATGAGTCTCAGCATCTGCTTTGATACCCTGAAGGATAGAGTCTTTCAGAGGCCCTCTGTGGTAGGCTCCTGTCCTGTTCCCTGTTTTCTCCCTTTTC